ATTTTTTACGCAAGAACCCCCTGTGAGCCATGGCTTCACTGGCGTTCACCCTCACGACTACGGCGCTATGCTGCATGACGTGTCTGTGTTGTGTCTCTTCTGATTGGCTGACGGCTAAAGACGTTCATTGTCTGTACCCAAAGTGGGTGGCGCCCAGCGCGGCTGAGAGCGTGATGGATTTGGCTCTCTGCGCGGTGTTGATTAGTGTTGTTTGATCAGAGATATTATGATAGATCCAGTTGATCTATATACGGCAACCAGAACTGAACTGATTCCGCGTAGTGAGCAATGCTGTAAAGTATTGCGAGCAGCGAAATAACACGCGAAGCCGCACAGCTAATTGCTAACTTTTAATGAATATTGAAAGTTCCGACAAGCGAAAATCAACACTGCGCCACACAGCGCGAACATCAAACGGAGAGCCAAATCAACGCTGCTCCGCACGTGCTAAGTCCTGCCCACATAAGGCGCACGTCAGCCAATCAGATGCGAAACACAACACAACACGGACACGTCATCGGCGCGCAGCGTTGCGAGCGTGAACGCCAGTGAATCCCTCGCTCACAGAGATGATTGATGCTCATTAAAGTGTACTATGCTAGCTGGCTGCCGTGCGTTGCGCATTTATCCACACAACTGTAGCTATTTACACTACACGGGATCCTGTCAATCTGGGTCTCCGTCCTGGATTCTTCCTGAGTCCATGGTAACACGCCCATGTTACAGTAGACTTCATAAAGATGTTACATCTACAGTCGTATAGCGATAAGCACACAAAGTATGCATGGATATTCTGGTTTGACTAGTAGACCCCGCGCAAACTGCGCGGAATAAATCGGCGATAAAATGATATTTAGGAAATCCATAAACCCACGAATACAAATTTAGTTTTATTGTGCGGAAAGTATAAGAATATACTGAGTATTATTATTGCATTTCATTGGCAAGTACAGATAGATCTGCCAAATATAGTAGTAGCAGTTAGCCTGTATCAGTTTGCTAATTAAATGTTTGAGGTCGTTTTGAGAAAACCTTATCCCGTTCCGCTGACTTCAGAATAACCTTAAATTAGACCCGAAAATTTAAAATTTTCCAGAAACATGCCCTTTTTACAGGGGTGCCGCGCCAAGTTCGGGCAGTTACGTAAATTCAATTTTAAAAAATTTCTGTACTTAGTTTTGCTTTTCATTTTGCACTTTTCCAGTGTAGAATTTTATTGCGGATCAGAGCACGCTACAATTTGAAATGTTAGATGAGGAAAGAAGTAGCCAACTGGTTAAAACGAGGATGGGGTAGTGGTCACTTTCAGGGGGATTATAACTGACCTTCCAGAAAGTTCCCCGAGTGACATTTTTTCGCGGACATTTTTAAAAACTGTTGAGTGACCTAAAAGGTATATGGTATGGGTCAGCAAAGACTTTTGCAAAACTGGTGCTCGAGGTGACCCAGAAAGAAGGTGCACCTTCCAATGACTATGCTACGTCTTTTATTTGTAAACGGCGGCAGTGTACAAATCAATAAACATTCACAAGTTAACCAAACAATGAAAAAAGCCTAATTATCACAACAGAAAGAGTTAAGTAAACTTTTCAACTCCATCCATTGTTCCTAAAACTGAGGCCGTGTTTCCCCGCTGAATCTCCAAGGACAGTCGCTGCCGGAGAAACTCATGGGAGCGAGCCTCTCCGGTTTGATTATATAGACGTTTCCCGATTTCCTTGATAATGGCCGTAGCTGACGGTCCCCATGGGCCCATTGTTTCGAAGGCAATGGCTGCAAAAATGTATCGCCCAATCAGATACGAGTACAAATTAGATTTCCTTTCTTCTGCTTGTAACGCGGCCGATCCGGCAGTCGAGCATGTGGACTTGATATGGGAAGCAGCGACCGTATCGACACAAGTGACATCCCATATCCATAGACTTGTATGTTAAACAGTGCTTCCGGAAGAATGTGGTTGCCTAGCGTGCAGAGCACCATAACTATGAGATGATGTTTTCCAAGAATGAGACGTGCATTGATGTAGAGGATTTTTGTGTTTCATCTGTTATCTACCAGGCATGGGATAAGATAGAGCTGGAAGAAGAATCGAAAAAAAACCGACAAAGCAGTGGCCAAATAAATTTTTCGCTGGTGCGAAAATGTGTTTAAACGGCATGTCGCGAGCTTTTTTTGTGGAAAGCAAAAAATCATGTTGTTACTCAGTGCTTAACGAACGAGTTTTTTCACACACAAAACACATCCGACCATCCGCTACTCCTGTGCGAACTCGCAAAGGGCACCGTCCACTATTTTGACAGTGCCTCCAGTAGCAATGCAAAGGTCACGTCGCCATCACTGAAATAGAATGGAACTGAACGACTTTAACAAGAGCTTTGAATGGCAAACAGCTCAGAATAACCTCTCTTGGACTATAACATTAGCGGAATTTCTTAACGAATTTTAAATGGGAGGGAGGTTAGGATGGTCCACGGGTTGAACCGCATTTTTGTGCAGGTCTGCTTTAATTTAAATTTCACTGTATTGCAAGCCACGCCTTCAACGTCGTGACCCAGAGTGAAAAAGTTGCATAACACATACGGCGATAATAAAAAAATCGAATAACTATTAATTTGTTGGTGGGTGACCTAGAAGAATTTTTAGGAGAAGCTGCCCAACTTGGCGCGGCACCCCTGTATTTCCAAATATAAAACAAACTTTTAAGCTTCTCCCAAACAGTCAGCGGCAAATGCCGGTCAGTTGTCAAGAACTCCAAATAAGACGCACCTCCATAATTACTGGATTTTCGTAGTCGTATTACTTCTACAGTTCTACTGGTTCAGATACCATTCAGAACTTCGTTGAATTTAGCCTGTCCGTCGTGACCGATACAATGATCCAGTGATACGACGGTACAACCACTGATGTAACCCTTTTGACCACTTATAGAGTAAAAATGCATACTTTCCAGTGTTCAATTCCTCCTACTGCTGACATGCAAAAACAAATTTAAACTGGATAAAGACTTCAAAATTTTATTGTACAATTCTTTGGTGAACTTTTTATCATTAATTATCGTCGAAAACTTAAGCACAGTGTCTTGCTTGCTACCCCCACTGTAGATAGGCGTCGGCTCGTCGCCTATGCTTCCGCCTTCTGTTACGTGATAATAAAATCTGTTTCAAGTTGGGCAAAAATCTCGCTGTTAATAACAATATGCATTCGCCTAGTATTAATTCCACAACAACACCCCCAACTCTCCCATAACGCATTGTCGCTTGACGCTTGTGCCCGCACGGATAGTTCATTTAATGTAGCTTGTCGCACCGTGGCGCACCGGGGAGGGTATTCCCAAAGTGTTTTTTAGTTTTGACTTGTGATGGGAGATGATCGGACAAATTGTTTTATAGCTGGCAAAAAGATAAATAACAAAGCGGATAAGTTTCACTTTTATGATCTTCTGTTTGTTTTAACTTTTTGAATGCTAAATATGCGCTTTAGATTTTCATATAACCGTTTTTTCTACGTTTCTCGGATTTTCTTTCGGAAAAATATTTTAATCTCCCCTCCCTCCCCTTGCGGACATCTAAAATAAGCGCTCCTCACTTCACTCGCCGGAAAAGATTTGGGGCCTTGGGCCGCCTTCTCCCGCCGGGCGGCGTTTCGAATCCGTGCCCCCGGCGGGACTGGGATTCTTTGTTTCGCTGAAACAGTCTACAGCATTTCCAGTCGAATACCAAAATTCCCAAAAATGGACTTTCAGTCTCTCACAAATAACGTTTATTGGCACGTCAGCAAACAGTAAGTAATTAGTACAGTAATACGGAATACCCAAGCTAACTGCCCCGTGGAAGCAGTTGCAATAATAAATCTAATCAGCTCGTTGCGGAAGGCAACTACTTTATCTTTGGAATTAGAGTCGTTCCCACTTCCCAGGAGATCTCGCCTGTTCAGTCTTTAAGAAGTAAAACTAAATTCGAATAAAAAAACTAATTTTCAATAAAAATCTTATGAACTAAAGGCAATCGGATAAGTTACCGTAAAACCCGATATTAACGCCCTGGGCTTTTATTTTTTCGAGAGGTTTGGGAGGGGGCGCTTAAAACCGCAGGGGGCGTTTATTGCGGGGGGGGCGTTTAATATTTCAAAGGAATATCGCGCTTATGATATTCAAGTTTTAACGAGATTTGTGTGTTTGGACATTAAAAGAATAATTTTGAAACCAAGACATTTGCTAGAAAATCATGGTTTAACGGGTGTGCTTAAATGGAATTCACCTAAATAATTAAGATGTACCATTCAGACTGTAACGACAATGCTCTAAAAAAGCGGGGCGCCGCAATTTATTAGGCGCCCCGGGGCGATAATTTCGGGGGGGCTTCTATTATTTCGAGAGCTTCGGGAGGGGGCGTTTAAAGCCGCACGGGGCGTTAATTTCGGGGGGGCGTTAATATCGGGTTTTACGGTAGGTACGCCAAAGTTCCATCAAGTGTAGATGGCTGTGTTTCTTGTGATGTTCGTGACAGTGGTGGCGTGGGCGGGTTTGCAGTGGTGAGTTCTCCACTTTTCCCGTAAACTTTGTATGTTATGTTCTTTCAAGATTTTTTCTGAAACTTTGCACACTTTTAAAAAACTGTCTGGTTTCTGCAATCTGCAAACTTGCCGCTATGGAACGACATATAGACATCAAAGTTTGGTTCAGTGGCTCGTTCACAAAAGGGAGACAGTAATGGAATTTCGCTAAGGCTTAGAGAATTAATATATAGGATGGATGTAACACCATTTCGAAGCCTACAGGAGTCAGAACGCGCCAGTTAAAGACAAAGCGTATTTATGTACTGTACAAAGTTTATGTAGAGGCAGGTTTGACTTGATATCGTGAAATTTAGATACAGCGGTGAAAGCACCTTGCCTTCGTACAACATCAACAAGTAGTAATAGCACGAGTGGTTCAGTAGGTAGTAGGTACTAGGTACTACTGTTTCGTTTTAATATGGCGCCAAAACAAGTACGGTACACTTACAAAATTACCAAACACTGCTTAGAAAAACCAACACATTCTAACTGTTTCGTTTACTGGTAGCTCATTCGCACTCGCAATCATTTCCCACCGCAACAGGTATTTACCAACATTTTATATAAACGTGCCTATAAAGACTGAGAGCGATACACGTAATACGACTCTTACTGGACGATATCGTTGGAGCTAAACATGCACCGGTTTTACATGCACCAAAACAAGTACGTATTGAAAAATTAATGTTCTACTGAATGCTATTAAAGGGAACTGCTGCATCAACTATTAAGCGGTATCAGTCGATGCGACACTGATTCGGTACAGGGTCAGCAGTAATGAAGGGCCGGTAATAAGCCAGGTTCAGGTAGTAAGATAAGCGTTTCTTCCCCGGAATTTCTGGCATCCTGCGGAAGAAGTGTCGTACACAACAAATGCAATTCAGTGTGCTGAAAACGTACCCGCACGAATGCATTGCAACCACTTGATCATTCGACCACAGGGACTGAGCGCGACAAATGAGGGGGCTGCCATTGTCCCCGGGACCTGGATACTCTTGGCCATAGGCGCACCAGTTGAATTCAAAGATTTCTGGATCAAGCGTTTTGCACTCGAATGGTGTTAAGGGAACAATATGGCCTTCTTGTAGGATTGGCGAGTACGTTTCATTATGCTCCATCGACGAGCCCCATCCCGGCAGCCTGCAATTTCCAGGAAACGGCAAGCCATGCGCGAAACTGAAAGGTGCCCTCATCATCCAAGGCGTGAATCGGGATATTTTCTAGTTATTGCAATGGAAACGTTAATTATCCGAAGCAGGTGACAGTACATAGTACATACAGCCACACAGGATGCACGTTGAACAAATCCTATTGTTTACATAGTGCTTATTACACGTAAGTTGTAAATATGTATATATCAAGCTAAAATGAACTGCTGCACACCTCTGCTAGATTCAGTAGGCAAATATCGTGTCTGCATGGGGATTGACTGAACTTGTCGTGGCAGTGGTAAGAAGATACGTTGATGTTCACTGTGCTCTGCTCTTCCTCTTCTAAGTTGTGGCGTCCCAGCGAACACCGGACTATGTCGTTATAATCTCTGAATGCGGTACAAACACGAGCCGCAGTTACAACTTTCTTGCCGTGTACCTGTAATTTAATACGGAGATAGTACATATAGGGGGCAAAACTAAACGTGTTCCACCGTTTCCGGCTATTGCTGCCGTCACCCGGCTGGAGTTTGACGTTGTGGCTGAACAAGGCGCTTATGTACCGCGCCAGATTTAACCATATGTATTGCCGTAACGTCACACTCCAGGCGGGTGACGGCAGCAATACAGGGGAACCGTGGAACACGCTTAGTTTTGCCCCCTATATGTGTTGAAATTACTGTAAGCTGATTCGTTCAAGTGCTGTACTCTGTACATGCATAACCATATATAGTCGAAAATGAGTGAAAAGCTATATTTTTTTATTGCTAAAAGCATTTCCGACCGAAACGGTATGATTTGGTTATTCCCTATCAATTTTTCCTCATCGTTATTCTTTACTCTTTCAAGACAAAACCGTTTAGCTGGACTTGCACTAATATCGTATTCAAGAGCAATATATGTACTGTTTCTTCTCTGAAACAGAAAAACCCACTTGTAATAACAGGTTAAGGGATTTGGCCCGGTACATAGCACCAAGTTCGTGTACATCCAGGGGAACTTTCGCTGTTGCGCGCTCCCAAACACTTTTTTGCATTGCTTTATGGTATTTTGTAGCCAGAAGAACTGTATACCTAGGTGAAAAAACCGTTTGCGCGCGCAATATCCGGTTGCGAAGTTACGAGGATATCAAAATTCCAAAAAGTTTAAATGCATTCAGGTGTACCAAAAGTCTCATTATGGACCGATCCCTTTCAAATTTTGCGCGTAAATGCACATAACCATGAAGATCGTTTTGACACGGACCCAGACTTCTACGATTTTTTTAGAATTTTAAAATAAATTTTAAAATTTTTGAAATTCATTTTAAAATTTGAAAAACATGCCGGAACAGTGGATCCGTGTCAAAACGATCTTCATGGTTATGTGTATGATGGTGGATCTAGGAAGAATCCACGGGCAGAGACAGAACCCAAATCTATCCTGCAGAGTGAGCAGTGTTGTTTACTACGAGCTATGCGGAAACGCAAGACACCCGACAACCAACTGCACACTTTTATATCCCATTCATATGACACTACAGAAGCTCCCGCAGCAGAATGCTGCGGGGCCAAAAGAGCAGCCAGTTACTCAGACGACGATGGCTAGCAACTGAAGAATCCACCAGATTGAAGATCTGGTAGATGAAGAAATTCAACATCAAAATACAGCAAAACAACTTAGCACCCGCACCAGTGCGGGCGTACGGGGAGGCCACTCCTCCTCACATGTGCATTTACGTGCAAAGCTCGAAAGGGATCGGTCAATAATGAGACTTTTGGTACATCTGAATGCATTTAAACTTTTTGGAATTTTGTTACCCTCATAACTCCGCAACCGGATGTTGCGCGCGAAAACGGATTTTACGCCTATATACACCAATTATTTGGCCATACAATAATAAAAAGCAAGCCAAAAAAGTGTTTGAAAGTGCGCGAAAGCGAATATTCCCGTCAATGTACACGCTTTTAGTGCTATGTACCGGGCCAAATCCCTTAATTGCATTCCTGGAACTTGCGTGCACATGGCAGCATGTGAACGTCCAGAAAACGTGCTCGAAAGTGGCACACTTTTAGCACGCATAAACCGTAATTATGGAGTTTGCTCCACTTGGGTGCATGAGTTTGAACATTGTGGAGGACGGGGACTTATTTCGGGAGCAGGCGCTGTTTGGAAGGGGGAATTCTTTTCAAACGGTTTGTTCGGAGGGGCCAATTTTTATTTCAAACAACTGCGCGTCTTGCCCTAATGAAATCTGGAACCGAGTACGAAGAAGCCCTTGTTGTAGAGGGAGATTTTACGGTAGGTTGATGCGCTGTGCATGATATTATTATGCCTTTAAATAATGCCTTTAATATTATGCCTTTAATAATGTTATGCCTTTAATTATTATGATTACATATTCTTTTAATTACCTAAATAAATATTTAGGAATGTTTTTCCGTTTAGCAATTTTTCTTATGTAGTTGTTTCAGTTCTTTATATAATTATTATTACGATACATCCCTTATAATAATTATAAGGGATGTATCGTAATAATTAATATTATGCAACGTACACATTACATGGATGTGTACGTACATCGCATCTACTTAAATACAATCCTTGAGAAATGAGAACCACCGGCACACAGGTTACTGTTCGAGGTTCAGAGGCGTTCACAGTTTAAAAGTGGTGATATAAAGGGCGAAAGGCCTGTAAAGTGGAATATGGGCACTGGCTGTTTCATACCCTACAACGCAAAAAATGTATGCCGTTAACAGTCACATTGCAGTGAGTGCCAGTGACCATATTTGCATCCCTTTGAACAGAAATATGAAATCTTTTATATTCAGTTTTGATTGCCGATCAACAGCTTCCTAATAATCTAAAATTTTAATGAAGGTGTTGCACAAAATTTATCAAAATTTGGTTTGCAAGCTTTGAGCTGGTGAAAGAGGTTTTCAAGTTTACGCCTAAAAAGTGCTAACTAGTTAGCATAAGGTTGTTGATTTCGTGGTAGGTCTAAGCACTTCAAATATGTTACGTAGCGAGACCCCGTCAAATTTAAAAAAAATAAATCCTCCCACACTTTCTATCAAACAACTGAATTGTTGATCTTGTCGAGAACTAAAGGTCATGCTTGTGCAGTAGCATTAGATAGCGAATTCCGTTGACTGCTTACACTTCTCTGCTATACAGTGCAAAATAAAGAATTAACAACTTTAGGCACTTAACTTAATCTTAGACCGTACACCCGTACATAACAATTTCGTCAAACAAAATGTGACCGTTAACGCACCAAAAATTAATACAAAGTTCTTTTTACAATACACCAGTATTATGAGACTGTCAGTTAAGCCTAACTTCAAAAAAAAGCGTTCTGACCACTCACCAAGATTCCCGAAGCGGTGTGGACCCACGATGCAGTCGTTTCGTTCCATCGCTGTACGGAGACGAGGAAGGGATAGCCATGAGCAGCCGCGTCGCGGCCGGTGATGAAAATAGCACCATTATACCAAGTTGCGAAGATGAATAAAATCGCCAAGGCAGCCGCATAGCGCGCTGTTTTTACAATTTTTGATCGAAACATGGTTGCAGCTTACCAGTGCAATAACTTTAGGGCAAATGGAAATCTTCAGCGTACCAAGGTACGACTTCAATTGCAAAACAAAGCAGTAATGCTGCCTCGCAAAGAAATGTCGTTATACTCAGTATTTTTTTGGTTTAAACGAATACTCTGCATTTCTGCTATAAGCTTGCGTGGAGCACATGCCATCTTGTTTGTTCGCACTTTGCATGAACTGATTGCACATCTCTTTATGCGGAAACAATCATCATTGTGACATTTTTTGCTTGATGCTGACCGATATCATGCCGGTCTGGGCTTGTGCTGGAGACGAACCAAAAGTTCATTCTTTAACTTATCGCGTTCTTATGATCTACTAGATATTACTCGGTTCTTAACGTCGGTGATGTGATTCATCGAAACTCTGCGCAGTCGGTACTTACGGAAAACGGCTCGGTGCAGGTCGCATGATTCCAAATTTCTACTGGGACTTTTATCATGCTGTCATAGTAAAATGCATCTCTTGTGTAGAGTACAGCCAAATACTATTATGAATAAAAATTTCGTTCGTTCAAAAAAGATTTTTACCGGCATTCTCAATTTTTAACACTGTTACTCTATACTCTATAGTACGACTTTATACTACAGATATTATAGTTATTACAAATGAATTTTTAATTAACCATTTTTATTTTTAAAACTAACCTGCACAAATTTGGTACGTTAAGAGAACAAAAAATACTCGCTAGCAAAATCAATTTACCGTAAACACGAAAAATATGTCCTAAAAAGTTCTATCCTAGCAGTCGATCGCACCCAGACCAGACACGGCGAGATACTTACTTGTATGATGAATATTGGGATAAATTTACAAGCATATTTGTTTATTTATTTCCTTTTTTGGTAACCTTGGGATTTTTTAATATAATATATCGTGAACGGTTCTTGGAACTTGTTATTTCGTTTACGACTGTAAAGTATCACATGGACGCATGCGGAGTCAAAGGTGGTTTTGCAAAGGTTGTATTAGGAGAGAAAGGTGGTAAAAAAGGGGTAGGTATGTAGGGGGTATGGTACAAAGGGGTAGGTATATGTGGTAAAAAAGGGGTAGGTGGTGAAAAGGTGGTATGTGGAGCCTTCACCTTATTAATTTAATAACCACATTACTGAACTGATTCTTATTTTATTAACCCACCAGCGGGCGGTACTCGAAGGAGTACGAGTTTCCTTACGAAAATCGGGATTTCCCGATGAAAAAATTCAATTAAGAAAGGGAATTTTTTGTGAGCTCGTGTTGACCATAGGTCAACGGTGGTGACTATGTCGTCTGCTGACGCCAATGCCCATGGACAGTCTACAGTATAAAGCCACATAATTTTGTAATAATTAGACGAAAAGGAATTAAGTAGAAGCAATTACTTAATTAAATAGTACAAAAAAAGTACTTTAAAACAGCACTATAGAAGTGGTCAACACACTGACCACTGGTCAGAAAAAAATTAAAAACTGCTAAAACCCGTTTTCTTGCATTTTGACCACTACTGCATATATAAAGTTCAGAAAACAAGCGATGCTGATAATATTCCTTCGCAGACTTTTCGCCTTTATTCATATGGCACTTCACGAAGCAGCCTTTGTGCAGTCTAACATTGCACTTGCTGCATTTGTGAACACCCCGAGCCGCCTTTACACTGCGTGCATCATTCAGACTTAATTGCACGTTTCCTGGTATGGCCGCAGTGGTGGGTATGGGGAGAGCGGCGGGAATCATCCAGCTGCAGAGGCGATTGGCGCCGAATCAAATATTAATGGTCACTCGCACTTTTTCTAACACATCATCGGCCGGACGTAACTTATATAAGGCTGCCGCAAAGGTCAACATCGCTAATGTGGTTATTACAGTTTGCAATCGCCAGAGTCTGGTCAAAAAACTCAGAACCCAAAATTCACATGTTTCTTTAAAGCTGCGCGGCTCCATAGCTTTGCTTGCCCAAGCGGTATTCGGTATCGAAGGCAGAGAGCAGCAGAATGCGGGGTTGTGCTGCCATTTCACAGTGCTACATACACTGGCTGTAGAATTATAATCAGGACTAACCGCATCAGGACTACCATGCCGACCGCCCGGGGGGCCGTTCAGCAACCCCATTTTCTGCCAGCTTTCAACAACCAAAACCACATGGAACATGTTTTGCCTCAGAACCGACAGTAACTTATTCCGCTTACGTAATGAAAAGAATCTGTCGAAAGTGCACCCGCCCGTGTATTCATAACCCTTCATGGGCATTGGCGTCAGGAGGCAACATGTGTTTTTGACGGACAATGGTCTTGTTATGTTCGACTTTTTGAAGACACGGTGGATATTTCTGAATAAAGCATCATCAAATGTACCCTGCTGATTTATCTCAAATTTATTGAACCATCGACGACAGAGTTATTGACCAAGGCATCGGAGAGCTGAGTCAAGTCGAAATTAGCGATTTTTGCGCACCTGTAGTTTTTGATTAACTTGAGACACAAGGTTGAATAATGCTTTTATTGCTGCTTTAAAGTTCCTCGTTGCTTATTGCGTTAAGGGAAAGCGAAAAACTGTTGCCCAGCCCTTGGGAAAAAATTCCAAACACCTTGTCGTCGTGTGACGCCAATGCCCGTCAACGGGTTAACTATAAAATCTATAGAACCTTTTTATACGAATTATTGAATTCGTTATTTTTAGGCTGTGGCTATTGTACCCCAGTATTGTGCGGTGTGCAAAATAGCCTTTTGCTGTTTTACCCTAGTATGGGCGGCCAGATAGCATTCTGCTGTTTTGCCCATTATGCGTTGCAGTAGCCTTTTTCTATTTTGCCGCAGCATGGTCGGCAGAATATTTCATAACTAATTTGCCGCATTATGAATTACGGTGCAGTGCAGAGTTACGTAGTTGAACGAATTGTACAACTAAACAATTGCCGAACACTTTATAATTAATTTTAACGAAAATGTCGCGCGGTCCCGTACCCAGCCTTATGTGCCAGTATGCGACCCAGACCATTTTACGGCTGAGCTAAAATATCGGACTGTCGTACAGTGCACTGCGCCCCACAGGTTCGAAGTGGTGAGTATGGGAGCGCGCGACTGTTAAATCTCAAAATGATTGTACAACGGGAAAAGTGTTGAAGTACCGGCTTCCGCTGGACACCGTCACGTGTTTTTTGTTTACGGCTGTACGCTGTGTACTGGGGAGATTGCTGCTAGTGTGTTTCTACTCCCTGGCCTTTATTATTTTGAATACATCATTCTTATACAGATACTGAGGTATTTTCTCTCCTGTGGCTGGCGGACTTGATGTTGTCGGCGGTATCCCAGCGAACAAGTACAGTGCCGTCTAGTCACAGTCATCCCAAAGGAATTCAATGAAGGCATTCTCACTTACATCGACAGCTGTTAAGTAGAAAAATCGCGCAATACCGAAGTAGAGTAACACTATCGAAGCCAGCGTGACTGCAATGATTTGAAGCAATAAGTATAAAATCTATAATACCGACTATGTATACTGGGGCAAAATAGCTGAAGACTATACGGGCGAAGTGTAGGGCTATTCTGCCGCCCATACTGTTGGAAAATAGCCAGAAGCTATTCTGCCAAAAATCCTGGGGCAAATTTGCCATTTCGCTTAATTAACGCTATTCGTCGACTCCTTGGATGTGACCTGCAGCCTGTACGTACAAACGTTCACCCACTGGGGACATTTCGGTTCGTTTTAAGGAAGCATCCATGAATTACGTACGCAGCGGACCAGGGAGGGAAAGGTCGCAATATACTCACTAGTCACTACTAACAGCAACGTGTTACAAATTAATAATTTGCAGTCATACCTATATTGCTCTTCAAATCGAAGTTGTACGTTGCCCATTAGCAGCATGCGACTATAGTATTCAAACTGATTACCGTAAAACCCGAAATTAACGCCCCGTGCGGCTTTAAACGCCCCCTCCCGAAGCTCTCGAAATAATAGAAGCCCCCCCCGAAATTATCGCCCCGGGGCGCCTAATAAGTTGCGGCGCCGCGCTTTTTTAGAGCATTGTCGTTACAGTCTGAATGTTACATCTTGTTAAGTTACGTGGATTCCATTTAAGCACACCTGTTAAACCATGATTTTCTAGCAAATGTCTTGGTTTCTAAATTATTCCTTTAATGTCCACACATACAAATTTCGTTAAAACTTGAATATCCTGAGCGCGATATTCCTTTGAAATATTTAAACGCCCCCCCGCAATAAACGCCCCCTGCGGTTTTAAGCGCCCCCTCCCAAACCTCTCGAAAAAATAAAAGCCCAGGGCGTTAATATCGGGTTTTACGGTACTTATTACGTTTATTATTGTTTCTATACCGTAACAGCAGCCGGTTGGACTACTGTTTTACGGGAGTGGGCTAGCTATTCCACCTTGCCACAATCTGCCGGCTGTTAGTGTGGACAAGGCTGGCACTAACGTTTACACCGGTGGGTAGTAGCAACCGTTGGGATGCATGCTCGTACCGCTGCGGTTAGAGCAACACAACGCAAGGTCATTGCAAGAGTTTATTAGCAGTTACACGTAAGCAAGATTCAGTGACCAGATTCAGTGAGCAAAGCAAGCTGATGAGCCAGAAGCGTGGAAGGCGCGAGACAATATATGTAACAGGAGCAAGAATTCATTAGCAAGATTCTGAGTAAGCTGCAGCAAGAATAATTTCAAGAAGAGTCTGACCGTGAGATGTGGTAGGAAAATGTAAAGAAATAAGGACTCGTCTTCATTAACAGCACAACTAACAGTCAGAAGAGAAAGGCACCTAACATTCCTACTAGTGGTACATTAAACTTTCTATTGCTACAATACTGTACAATGTATGTGCTAGTTTTAGATAATTTTTTTCTCTACGCGTTCACAATACTGATAGTATTTCCAAATAACTTGCTGTATTAGAGAAAGGAAAATACCAAATGAAAGTGATTGTTCAAAGTGATTGTACATTACTCAGAAAGATCACCAAAAACTAAATGCACTTTGTGGCACGGCAATAAGTATGTAAAAAATACACTTCCCTGGAAAAACATAACCGATATACTGTATTTTGGTGCAAAAATGAAAAGAGCATTACATTTCGCGGTGGTACTGGCTCTCGCGCTCGTGCAGTAATGTGGTTCGCAACCACCGCTAATATCGTACAATTTCAGCAACCCATCAACCGCACTGCTAGATTACCCAGAGTAGCTGCTCCGATTTAAAATCCTTAAAATATTGTAAAATGGTCTATCAGAATGACTTCGATTTACTCCGTTCGTACAGCTAATACTGCATTTTCGGTCGCTACTCAGAAACCACCCAGTAGCGTATGGTAACTGTACCGCTTCCCTAAAATGCTCGCTCATCCAAACGATTTTAAACATAGCGCAAATGAAACTGGTGCGGAAAGAAGTAGAAAGCGTTTGGTTCGAGTATGGAAACTGACTGCTATAACTCGTACAACACCAACATGTAGCAACAGAACGATCCACAGTAAATAAATAAGTACCTCGTAAAATTATGACGCCAATCTGAATACATAAAACGCATCGCCAAGCTGAATAAATATCAGGATATAAAAAAACAGAACGAGTGGGGCAGAACATATGGCTGATATCAGTTACTTCGTTTATTGCGTTAATACAAGTAGATAGAGTAAACATCCAAAAATGATTAATGACTGCTCAGAAAAAACCTAACACATGCTAACTATTTGGTTTACTGGTCGCTCAACCGTACTCATTTTTCAAGATACCACAAAAAGAAGTAAGTGTTTAAAAATTTGGAGCTGTTCTGATGATTCTGATGATGAACAGTTACAGTAACAACTGCACTAATTACTTGTATAACTTGTTAAGTCGACACGACACTGATTCGGTACAGGGTCAGTAGTAATGAAACGCCGGTAATGGGCCAGGTTCAGGTATTAGGAAAAGCGCTTTCTCCCTGGAAACAGTGACGTCCTGCGGAAGAAGGTTCGTAAACATCATTGCACATAAAAGTTAAAACACAATTCCGTGTAATGCAAATGTACCCGCACGAATGTATTGCAACCACTTGATCCTTGGACCACAGGGACCGAGCGACAAATGAGGGGGCTGCCACTGTCCCCGGGACCTGGAAACTCTTGGCCATAGGCGCACCAGTTGAATTCAAAGATTCCTGGATCAAGCGTTTTGCACTCGAATGGTGTTAGAGGAAAAATTTGGCCTTCTTGTAGGATCGGCGAGGGCGTTCCATTATGCCCTAGCGAAGAGCCCCATCCCGGCAGCCTACAGGCTTCAGGAAACGGCGGGCTGTGCGCAAAACTGAACGGTGCCGGCATCATCCAGGGAGTGAATTTGGATATTTCCTAGTATCATTTTATTTCATTTTTTCGTGCCAAGGCCAAGGAATCGAAAGACTTCGCGTGAAGTTACTTTAAATGTGCGAATTATAATGCTTCTAATTATTATCATTTTTTTAAGTTAAATAATTGAGCTTGTAACCGGAACTACTTATTGTTTACCTCTGCTAGGTTCCAGAGGCAGATATCGTGTTCACAGGCCATTCGATTATATTCGTCATGGCAGTGATATGAAGATATGTTGATATGCACTGCGCTTTGTTCCTCCTCATCTAAGTTGTGGCGTCCCATCGAACAGCGGATTATGTCGTTATACTCTCTGAATGCGGCACAGATATGCGCTGCCGTTATTACTCTCTTTCCATTGACCTATAATTTAAATATGGAAGTAGTGCATAATTATTGATTATTTCAAGAGAATTTCTGATTTGTTTGTGTTTTACATAAGCCTTCTCAAACTAGGGCAAACATGTTCCCGTAAATTTAACTCGCTCAGCTATCTCTGGGTTCTCCACATCAGAGAGAAAGAACACAGAACACGTGCGTACGTACGTACACTCGGAGATACTGATTGCATTATTTTGCGAATAATATCTCAGCGGGATTCATAAGCTGAACATTTTCATAAATATACGAATTCTAGCATGCACCTTGATCGGCGTGCAAATTCCAGCATTACGTTTTGGCCGGTAGCAAGTACTGTCAACAGTTTAGAAGGACTACAAACTACAAAGTGAGCGAAAATTACACTGTCGCTTGTACGGAATGTACTGCAGTGCTACCTTTGGAAGCAGTGATTTTGTAGCAAACAGACAGCTGAATTCATCTATGAAAAGGACTACTCTTGAGGACATCAGAGTTTCATAGACACATAATTAATTTTCACAAATTTGATAACGCAGTTTTAGCAACGCAGTATCTATTATCACATAGCTGAAGCTAGGGAGGCCATTTTGGCACAGTGACCAAAATGCTGAACCATAACATCTAAAGTGCGAACATGATGTAAACACGATGTGTACGGGCAAGGGCGAAAAGGTATATGGTATCACGGAAGAAGATCTCTAATATAGCTCCAAAAAAATCTGGGGCAACGAGATCGGAAAAACCGTAAAATAATGAAAACAACTGTAAACGCCATTTGATTCAGGATGTTCACAAACATGCATTTTATGCATGTTCACATGCATTTTATTTCTAAAAAAAATTGTTCTAACCCGTGCCACCAGTGCCGGTTCCGGCAAAACTAGCAGCTGCAGTAAAGCTTTCAAGGTAAAACTGAAAATAGTACAAAATATCGAGTTGAAATTCTATGGCGATATTAAAGCACCTTTAAAATTTTATTTATACATACTGACATAAACTTACTATAGTGTGAAAGGACTGGGAAGCAACCGTTTGACGTCATCACTATCGCATACACGGGAGGGCGGCTGCCATGGTGACAGTTAAGCGTTTTTGTCTGTTTTCTCAACAGATTTCTCTTCTCTTTTATTTTTAGCGCACCAAATATTGGTTTCTGTATTCAGTTTGATCTTTTACAATATCAGAAATCTCCCGATGAGAAAGAAACTTGAGAATATCTTTTAAAAGGTACAACAAAAGCTGTGGAAATATGGCAAGCAATAGCACAGCCGTGCTTTCTGTATGCGATAGTGATGACGTAGTGGAACGTGGCGCAGTCCGTTCCCAGTCCTTACAGCTATAGTAAGTTTATGATACTGATGTTTAATCACCATCTTGCTGTAATCAAATTGTAACCCTCAAATGTCTAAAAGGAAAAAACTATTCAGCAGTGAGACTTTTTTACGCCGAAAAAATGCAAGGAAAAGACAGAGCACAGAAGAATTTAAAGACTGCTCGTCGCAGCGGATAGATTTCGAAATCTTATTAATTAAAACGCTCAAAAAAGCGTCTTAACAACTACGAGGGAAACTACTGGGAGCTTTTGTTCGGAAATTGACAGCAACAATTGCCAACAAAGGAAATTGGCATTACGTCTATCGGTCTATGTAACGAAAATTTTAAAGCGGGGTGCTCAAGCTCAGCCTAAACTAACACTTATAATATTATATTGTAGCGATAGTATTTGTACGAGTATTTGTACTCGTACAACCGATAAGACCACCCCGTTATGGTTCATCATTCCATCGTGTTATGAATTTGTGGCCATTTTACCGGCTACTTCTCCTTCTCATGAATTTCTAGAATTCAGTCTTGTACTTAGCTTGCTACAGCTTGAATCTACTTGATTAACCGTGTTGGTCCTACTCTCTTGCCCTAAAGGGCCTAAACCATGTTCCGTTTCTTGAACGCCATTGTTATTAAACCTGCCTGAGTTACGCTGTTGCGTTTGACCGCTTGGGATGAACCAGCGTCATCCCCATCGGAGCCACTTGTGTAATTGTGTGAAGTCAGTTAAGAACGTCCTCGGCCAGCATCGTTGCCGGCCGTGCCACCTTTCATCCCAACAGCCGCATAATCGTGGTAACGGCTAATCACTAACCCACTAGAACAGCAGCCAGATAGGCTGTTGTTACAATATTAAACAGTGAGTAGTCAGTCAGTCGAAGGAAAGTTCTCAAGAGAACTGACCTTGCATTGCCGAGTAAACGGAGTAAACATTTAACAGAATCTTTAGCTACGTTGGTAATACAATAAAATGCTCGAGGATTCAGCGTGCAAACGAGGCATCTATTATGGGAACAGCACCACCGGCGGCGAATTTAGACGAAATTGTCTCTATTATTCAACCGCCTTTGCTTGTAGATGTCGCTGTGTTACTCGCTGTCTTTCGTTTTCTTGCTGCCTTAAAACATCGTAAAATTTGTCATCGGAATTTAAATACAGCCCTGCTACGCCAAGTTCGGACAGTTACATAAAATAAATTCAAAAATAAGTTTCTTCGTCATCATGTTTTTCTTTTAACACTTTTCTAGTGTAACTTTTTGTTGCGGATCTAATGATACCAAAAATAGAATCTTCCGGCATGTTACTGAGCAGGTAGGCGGTGATTAAGTGGGTGGGGCTGTGTTGGTTTTCAGGGTGCTTATTACTGCCCCTCTAGAAACTTCACGAACCTCAATTTTTAAGTGAGCTGTTCTGGAAACTGTATATCTGCCCGAGAGGTGTTCGTTACAGTTCAACAACTCAGGTCTGCGCAATCGGTCCTCGAGGTAATCTCAAACCAAAGTTCGTCTCCCATAGACTTGTATGTTATAACCCACCCGATGAAGAACGCGGCTGCCTAGCGTACAGATGTAGATGATTTGAAGTTGACCGTTTCCATGGGTAAAACACGGGTCAAACTACACGATTTTAATGAATCGACAGCTATCTACCACACAGATGGGAAGATGCAAGTGCCAGACAACTGGAAGAAAAACCTAACAAAGCAGTGTCTAAAAAATGTTATGATTGATATCATAATTCGTTGGGACTAAACGTATCGGGTTTTTTGTGGGAATGAAAAACCTGAAGTAGACGCAAAGTCATCTGTAAACCAGATTTTATCCAGATTAGACATCTACGACCGCTCACGGCTGTACGGCGAGCGCCGGGAAAAGGTTATCCTACATTTTGACGGTGCCCGCAGGAAGGCTGCAAAGGTCACGTAGTCTTGGTAGAAACAGGGCTCTGTTAGGCATCATCCGGAAGAAAATTGAATGGCAAACACCATAAAATTAACTGATTTAGACTAGAAAAGGTGTGGAATTTTTAAACGAATTGTAAAAAGGGAGATGCATCCCAGAACAGATGAGTCGAGCCGTTTTTGGAAGCTGGTCCGTTCTAGTTTCAACCTCACTGTAACTCGAGGCATGCTTTCAGCGTAAAAACTTTAAATTAAAAAAAGTTGCTGGACACATACGCTGATCATATAAAAATGAAATGCGATTCTAATTGTTAACGGGTGACTCGTGATAATTTTTCGAGCAAAGTGTCCGAACTTGGCGTAGCAGGGCTGTAAATACGGTAGTACAACATAAAATGCTCCTGGTAATCAGGGCATCTTGATTTTCCCAGGATTTTTAACCAGATGCAGATTGATAAGCTACACTTGAACAAACGACATTTTGAAACTGCAGGCTACGACATTTAAATATCGTTCAACGTTAAGCTTGAGTTTCTACTTACTTACTTTCTGAGTTGGGTTGAGTTTAATGTCCTTGCAACAGATCTTCCACCCTCTCTATTGTAGGTTTCAGACAGTACACAATCAATAATCTTGCAATCATGCAATTTGCAGCTCTTTGACAACAATAAAAGCATATTTAACAAAGTTAACATTATGGCGTACGCATAGCAGAAGAAAAGTAAATCAACGATTCACATACGTATTATGAATAATCTTTAAATCCATATATTTCCCTAATATTTTATTTGAAATCTAGTGACGGAATATATATGTACCTACGAACGTTTATTATTTCTAGTGAAAAAAAATTACTTAAAAGGGCTGACCTTTCTCTGCTATCCTAAAAGTTTCTAGGATTTCAACTTAAACCGCACATACCCCTTTCAAGATTAAAATGCGTAGGAAATAGTCATAATCAGTACCACGTAATTCAGAATCCGGCAACATTAATATTCAAAAATAATAAGCTTTACGTTTTCGAAAGATTCAAAAACAGTAGCATGTGAAATCAGCAAGAGTGATCGAACTTAAAAAAAAAACTTCATTGCCTCGTCATGAAATTTGTCCGGGCCCCGAGGGATAAGGTTTTTCAGACTATGATCAGCGAGCCGTATGCCACAAGAAACGCGGGCGAAGCCGAAGCGGTTTCTTTTATGTTACTCGTACTAACACAAAATACTTGTTACAATATTAGACCGCGCACAATGCACATCATGATGCGACCTCGCTTAAACCTTACGCAAACACCTGACACAAACGAATACAAATCTGCTTTCTCCAGTACTTCAGTTATCCTTCAAAAATTAATAATACCGGCTGTTGATTTCGTACTACATAGCCTGGCTTCCTCGTAATTTTGTTTTCCTTTATCCTGTTTAAAAATTCTTGTGGACGATTAGGCTGAATGTTTTTATTAATCAAAATTTGCACCATTTCCGATGGGTCTACAGATGCTAGCGTCAAGGTGTGTTAGGCTGCTGTGGCTTCAATTCTAAACTTTCTGTGATGCTTTTATTTTTGTAACCCTACTTACTACGTACTAGCAGACCCCGCGCAGTTTCGCGCAAACTGCGCGGAAGAAGTAAACTACAAATAAGCTACCTTGCGTGTATGATTAAAAGACTACTATCTTTTCTACCATCGCCAGTCTATCGAAGTAGGTTATTTTTGAGCGGAAGAGCGGATTGACCACCGAATTATAGAATATACCTAATTTTTACAATGAATGCGACACTTTAATTCGGATTAAATTGTGTGCTGTCTAAACTGCACTTAATTTGTAGTATCATAATATCATTCCTTACACCAGGTGTAAATGCTGCCCGGTGCCTTCAGTTGCACTATCGGAAACAGCATCCATTCCAGTTTTCCATAAACTGCATATCTACAGTAAATTGAACCCTCATATTAAAAAGTAAAACCCTTTATTAGCACAAGCCAGTTAGAATACCCTAGTTAAAAAAAAGAAGTTACCCTTAAAGAAGTTAGTGATTAAAAAGTTACCCTTTATAACAAAATTTTATTGTTAGGCCTCAAATTAGAGACGCGCGTTTTGAATATCTTTGATACGCTCGTATAAACGCTTTTGGGTTTTATCAAGTATGTTGTGGAAGGGGGTAACGATCGGTACAGTACAAAAACGGATTACGCGTCGGTACCAAAACAAAAAAGATTTTCTCACTTGTCAACTTTAGAAAATTGCCCGCCAAGCTACGCACAACCAAAAACTGGTTTTCATAAGTTAAATTTTTGCCGCGCGGAGTCCAAGTGTGTTATAATTTACCGTTGTAAGGAAATTACCGTGTTCAGTACTCACCAGTATTCCGGAACCAGTGTGAATCCACGATGCAGTCGTGTCGTTCCATCGCTGTACGGAGACGAGGAAGGGATAGCCATAAGCAGCCGCGTCGCGGCCGGAGATGAAAATAGCACCATTATACCAAGTTGCGAAGACGATTAAAATCGCCAAGGCAGGCGCATAACGCGCTGCTTTTACAATTTCTGATCGAAACATGGTTACAGCGTACCAGTGCAATAACTTTGATGCAGCTAGAAATATTTAGCGTACAGAGATACGAATTAACAAAGTAGTAATTAAGCCCCGCAAAGAAATGTTTTTATACTTGGTATCTTCTTTGGCTATATGTGTACGAGTAATTTACTATATGCCTGCGTGGAGCACATGCTATCATGTTTGTTCGAACTTTGCATACAAGTATACCGACTGATTGCACATCTCTTTATGCGGAAACAATCATCATTGTGACATTTTTTGCTTGATGCTGACCGATATCATGCCGGTCTGGGCTTGTGCTGGAGACGAACCAAAAGTTCATTCTTTAACTTATCGCGTTCTTATGATCTAGATGCTGTGATTCATCGCCGCCCTGTGCAGTCGGTACTTACGGCTCGCTGCATGTCGCACGATTCAAAATTTTACTGGAACTATTATCATGTTGCCACAGTAGACAGTGGGCTTTTGTGCAGCAAAGCATTATGTTGCACATTAACCAGAATAGAATGTAGTTTTGCTAATAAACAGTTGCTAAAAAAACAACCAACATATCTAAAAAAAACCGTAAAAATGACGGGTGCTGCTTGCTGTCTGTAACACGACTTCGTAGCTAACCCGATGCCAGTTTAGTGCAGTTACAGTAGCCGCTAGATGAAATGGCACCACTTTTAAATCCGGCCGCTGTCTGTCCTTTGCCGGGCTTCCCACACGCGAGCTTCTAGAACTTTGAGCAGCGTCTGCGTCGTTTTTCATACATCCACATGGTGCCACTTTATCTAGTGGCTACAGTATATAATAGAACTCTTTGGTGCCGATTCGCAAAATTTCATCCAGTTCTTCAGTTTTTCCACCGCTTCTCGTCAGCACTTCTCAAAAGACAAACGAAGTACTATGGTGGAAATGACCATCAGCTTATAAACGTATAGCAAAGATTGGTAATTATTGTTTCCGGTTACATACAGAACAACTACTAAAAGGGGCATATTCTTTATTGCAAACGCACAACCGCGTAGCGAAACAACCTCCAAACCCCCAGGACAGACACGGAGAGGAACATGTGGATGCAAAACGAGCAGGAGATGGCCGACGAGTCAGAGCAGCGCGTCGCGAATGGCGTGGCAGAAGTCCGAACGTTCAAGGAAATCGCGTTGAATGTACTGCTGGTAGCAGTCCCTTTTCCAGTGGCCTTGGGCTTTCAGCGCGAATGCGGAAATCCCCAATTGTGCTGAAAATGTTGCGGCACCGCTGCGTAGCGAGTGGGCGGAAATGCGGGATGCATCAAGGCCGGCGTGGCGGGCGCACGTGGATAGTAGGCGGTTGTATAGACTGGAATACATTGGTGTCAATGTACCATTCTCATAATAAGAAAACAAAGCGCTCGAAGCACTGCAGCGGTTATGCTGCATCAGCTCCTTGGGCGCCGCCCTAGGACACGAATAGTTGTCCCGTCCAGTCTGGGAACTGGTATATCAATTGTTTTCTTTTGAAAACGATCGGTTTTTAAAACTGTAAATGACAACAAAGCACCTCTGTGCGTAAGCCGCACGTCGCGATAAAGCAGATGCGAATTACACTTGCTCTCAAACAGGTTTGAGCTGCGCAACAACGAGAAAAACCCAACCGCTGTTGCGGCCCAAAAACAACGCCGGAACTTCTTTTCTATAGCGCACATATTTTTGTGAATTTTTAGCAAATCGCTCGGCAATAGCGGTAGGCGTTTATTTGGCAGCTCAGTACGACTGCGCTGCAGTCCGGCCAATGCTTGCCTGATGACGAAATGGTTAAGGTCAGGTGGGTCAAAATTATTAAATGTGTGAAACGTTACCAAACTGAAAACATAATTTTTAACAGTAAGAAATTCTAATCTTTTCGATAAGTGAGCAATATACAAGGCAATAGTTTCTTCTGTGGTTGGTAGCGCTCGCAGGACGCAATTTATACTGCGCACAGAAGGAAACAAATGTTCTCCACTGAGAGGAGCGAGTTCTGGCTGTGCCGGCTGCCATCGATTTCAGGCGAAGTGCCAACAAAATAATTGCAACAGTGAATGCTACCTCAGTGCCGAATGTGGCTTCGTACACCTAGCGCACCCTTTGTATACTACTGGCTGCCAACTGGCCACAAGGGCGATGGTGCATGGTGCTCGCTAATTGGTTACGGTACAGCACACAAACGACAGGAGACAGCACAACAATACAGACATACTCCACCTCCAACAATAATACTCAGAATATGCGCATAATCTTGCCCGATTATAATGTATGCTGCATTCTCGGTGCATTGCCACGTTAGTAGATAAGTAACTGAAGGAATTCAAAATTTATCACATATTCAGCGAAAAAGTAGACTTTACTTTAATAAATTTTCACGTTACTAAATATACCAAATTTCAAAATTATTAATTTGCGTGGAACTTGCGCTATATTACTAACTACTGTCGTACTAGCGGTTATTTAATTTCATTGTTAACAAAATCACAGCAAAGTTGCCAAGAAAAACAACATCGGACGCTAATTATTCCCGACCAGCCAATCTAAATGCTAAAAAAAACATCCTCGTTGTCTCTCATGTCAATAAAAGTTCCAAGGACAGACACTGCACTTCCTCGTCGTACTAGTTATATGCACCTGCGCTCACAGTATAAAACCCACGTCAAAAAGTATTTTCTAAATTACATCAAAATACTGCAACATATCGGCACTCTATAACAACATATATCCACGGCAAAATTCGGGCAGCCGTTTAGAAACCAGATTTTATATCAGCACAAATTTGTGTCGAAGTTACATCCTTTTGCTGGACAAAGCAAAAGCTTCGTAAAAGCCGTTTATACGTTGTAAATTCATCTGCGTTGTTACAAAATATTAATTACATTTACAGTAAAACCTCTCCTTAAATACACTTCTTTATTAAATACACTTCTCTATAGCATTCAACCTTTAAGGAACCGAATTGGCTCCCATGTTATAACATAGGGGGATTCTCTTTATAACATTCACCTCTTTATAAGCCTTACATACACTTTCCGCGGAACCGAATGTAGTTGCACCAGTGTATGAAACCTCTGAACTACATTCAGCTACGGTTAAATACCGCTGCATACAGGTAACCGGATGCAATTTGTCCAATCAGAATATCGTCAAATAATCACGAGTAAAGTTTGTGTAAGTGGTAATAATTGATCTAGAAGTATATTTCAACAGAATATTCTTATTTTATAAGCCTTGAGATATTAATCCTACTTTAAAATGAACGCTAAACGAAGTTTGTCACTGTCTGTACAAATATTTGCTGCTGCCTTAATGTTGTATTTATAAAGATACTGCTAGTCTGCTACATTCCCCACCCCCGCCCCAAAATATACAAGTGCCCCCTGGGGCAGTTGCCCTTTATAAAATACACACCGGTATGAAATACGAAACTGATGGAACCGTGCCTGTATTTTATAGAGAGGTTTTACTGTAACTGGTAAGTATATAAAAAACAGAAGCTTTGCTAGTCGATTGGCATAAATTGTCTACAAAGTAGTAATGCCAGAAAATTGATTCAATTTATGTATCGTAATTACTGCGCGCTAAATTTTCACATGATACTGTATAACCTTGATATGCAATCAGTAACGAAAGTATAGTTTCGGTGCAAAATCAAGTGTCGGTCGACCGACATAAAGTATTAGACACTGCAAAAATAGTCGCAAAATGCAATTTTTAAAGACTTATCGGCTCACTTTGCTTCTGAATGCATTGCGAATACAAATATTTACAAATATTTAGCGTGTAAAAGTCCGCGTGACGATAAAACTTTTGCTGCAAAGTTCAGTCAGTGAAAGCTGCTGTTATGCCTTCTCTGATTGGTCGAGCGGCATTCTGTGTTCAGAACACGTTCACGTTCAGCGCCGTTGTGCCGTCTCTGCTTATGGAAAGTTGGAAACTAACTTTAAAACCCACAATTATTGACTTTCTAAAAGCCACGCTTTTTAATTATGATTCTTCATAACCATCTCCAAGTTTTCCGTTTTATGGCTGTCGACAGCCAGATCCTTTTCAGCATTTGCGTGAAAAGTGATGGTGCGGGCATTCTGTGCCGTAACGCTGCTAGACGCAGCACGTCTATGGAAGAACACGCAAGAGCGCGTTCTTGTCTGCGATGCTGCAAGGAACCCTCGAGTTCTGTAATGATTCTACGGTGAGAATTTCAATGAAATCCCAAATGTTAAACGCCGGTTTAATAGAAAATCATTTTTTATTTTGGGTTAATGTTTTCAGGTCATTGGAACATGTTGCACAGCGGGAAGATTGTGCATGACGACATGCAGTAGGACTGCAGGTATACGTTTGATGAATGATCGTAAAAAGCCCGCATTTTAGTGGTGGTTTTATTTGAGATGGGATCGCTTTACGAAACATCGCCAGCACTACAATGATGTGCAGCCTTGATTTGCTAAAAACGAATTTTCAACTAGAATCTTAATTCTGCCTTTATGCATGTCGACATGCAAGCCTTTAAATAATTGGAGGTTTCAATATATAATAAACAAAAAATTCTATCTGGATAGTAAATAAAACTTTTATTTGCGTATGACTTTAAGCTCCTATTTTTTTTCTTTTATTTTTCAAAAAAATAAACTACAAATCGCATAGATTTGTTGCTTGCAGTATGACGATAATAAAATGATAATCGTAGAAACGTTTCCTTTTTCGAAAAACTTTAAATGAAGCCATATGTTTTTAATTTTGAATTTTTTTTATCCTTTAACTGATTTTTTTATCTGCAACAGCGTTTTAATTTTTCAAATGCAACTGCATGTCAGCATGCATGGATTACACGAAATAATTTAAAATTTGCCAAGTTTTGAAAAACATTAGAGAAGAAAACTTGTTGTGTCGAATGCATATCCAGAGACATTTAAATAGCCGTAGTTAAAATGTGCTGAATAATTTTTTGCAGGATCGATGAATGAATTCTCTGTTTCGTCGGCTTCCGGAAAGCAGTATCGCCGTGAAACGCATGGATGTCGACATCCAAAATTTATAACTGAATGCCACATGTTACCTTTTATTGATTTTATGCTGAGCTGCTAAAAGCGTACTTTTCATGAAATAATGGCTTTTGCGGGATAAACGTGTAGCGGATTGTGTTTTTATTGTTAATGGCATCGCCGCTGTGCTTTGAAAAACATCGCTGTTACATACCTGAATAAATATATTTTACATCGATTAGGCATATCGAAATCGGTCATTTTAGTATAAATCTAAGGGTTATTACATGGTCTCTAATATCTACATTTGATTCAAAAGTTACCAATAAACTATATCACAATTCTGACGAGGGAAACTAGCCCGCCATCATCTGCGCAAGTGCTTACCGCCTAAGAAGGCGCATTTCAGATTTAACGCGGAGTGTCGTCATCGGCAGACTCCCAACGAGGTGGCAGTCTGGTTGTGTTGCGTTCGAAACTGCAATGCATTCCTAATTTGAAATTAGGATCTCGGAAATTAGTAATTTCCGAGTTCATTGCAGTTTTGCTATTTTTACTACACTTTTACTTTTACCATAGAAAAGGATAATGGTTGTAGTACGCGCGCGTATTCTTAGCCGGTCCTGCCTGCCAGTCTCACCAACCTATGTTCGAGTTGTAATGAATTATGCAAACAAACTGCACCGTCGAATTTGCAAGTCAGGCGGCCGAAATCGGCTCAGGCGGTTTTCCGGTACGTAACAGACTGAATCCAAGCCGCAAAATCACTACTGATTAATTATAATTTCTGTACGAGTACGCTTAGCGTTTATAAAGTCGCACTTGTAAGTCCTAGAGTAGTACTTATAAATTTGTTGTATCGACCACAAGTTATACTACAGCCCTGCCAAGCCAAGTTGGGGCAGTCATAAAAATTCCTCAGATTCTGCCACTGAAGTCTACATTTCTTTGTTATTTTTTCCTGAATGTTCATGGTCTATGGCATCTTTTATAATTACGTTTCTATGCAAGAAGCTAAGACACATGGAACAGGAACCAAAGTTGAAATTTCATATTTCTTGCAAAAATCGAGTTGCTTAATGAGAAATCTAGGCTTCAACTCAATAAAATTTTATAAATTATGGGAGGTTGAGAACTGCAAACTGATACCAAAGTTTTCTAAAGGTCTCTTCCTAGCTTCCCTTTTCAAAAAAACATTTCGCTAGAAATGATCAGTGTTCTAGGAAACCACATTCTACCGCAGGTCATTTCTAACATACAAGTCTATGGGAGACTCAACTTGTTGTAAGGTCACCTCGAGCACGGATCACGCAAAGTAATTCTACTTCACCGTAATGGACACCTTTTGGATACCTCAACAGTTTTCAATAAAGGCTCTGTAAAAGTTCCGATTTGTGAATTTTTTACGGGAGCGTTTATTAGCATCCAAAAATTCCCTCCCTCCCTTTCCCCTTAATCCCCTTTTGGCTACATAGTAGCACACCTAGGAGTTACAGTTTTAATGTTGAGTGATCCGTTATAAAAAGTTACACCAGAAAATGGCAAAAATAAAAACAAAACGATGAGCACAAATATTTTTAAATTTGTTTTGTGCAACTGCTCCAACTTGGCTTGGCAGGGCTGTGTATAATATGTTGGTGATGTTTTACTACTAGTACGCAAAATCTTAAGTAATGTAAGTGATACAAAATGCCAATATGATACAAAATTTCTACAAGTCTCGCCGTGGAATTATTTTGATGTTGAGTGAAGAATTTCTCCATTCACCGCACCGATCGTTTAAATTATTTCAACGTTTTCCGCTACTCTATAACAAATGTTGTATATCAGTACATTATAGTATATACACTGTACCGAGAACTACAAGCTTGTTCGGTAATTTTGACGAATCTATACAGCGACTTACACAAATTTGCGTGTTACGCCAAACTTCATACTACGGCGCGCCACGCCACACTGTTTAATCACGTAACATGCATTTGGCTGGCTGGTGGATTCGAAATGTTGCGCGACTATCTGTACTGGTGTCACGGTATCTTTCCGCGCCGGAAATGCAGGATAATGAGTTTTTTATGACCTGTACACGGGGCGCTTGTCACTTGTTGAACGGTGCCGGTACAAACGCGGTTCGTCCGTCGCGACAACGATGTTTTCTATGCAGTTATTACCCATTACTTACTAAATTTTTCTCGTATTTATCTCGTATGTTATTATCTCATTTTCTTTTTATTAATATTTTTTTAGTGTATAGTTACTGTATATGAATATTAGTTTTGGCGCATTACATTGCATTTTTATAAGATTTGAAATATCTCTTTGAGTTTTTCCGCTTGCATTTCTTTTATTTTTTTATTCCGCTCATACTTATGTTTAGCGGGGTATTACTTTTTTTACCTATTAAAATTAATATTCCCATAAATTAAATAGCAGAGTGGAAATCCACTGCTTTATCTATGCATTACGCTCTGTACAAGCTTGTCCGGTAATTCCTACGTAAAGGTACAGCTAGCGCGAAATTTGCGCTTATAACGACGGCCACTTCACTACGTTTATGAAATTGCCTAAATGCGCTCCGCAGTCACATTGTCACTTACTGCCCCGACCATTTTCTAGTCACTTTCCGCGAGGCAGTTACTTTTATTCTCCTAAATTATATAGAGTGCAACAAGCCACCAGCCAGCCAAATGCATGTTACGTGTTTAACCCGTTCCACACTATGCGTGTTAGACCGACATGGTAGAGGACTTCTTCTCTGTAGTCCGTTGTTATGAACACAGATTATTTCTGTTGGTTTTGTTTCAAAGAAGTTATGTTAGACGACAGTTTAAAATATATAACCGTAAGCTGGGTCATATCCGGAAGGTCCAGAGGGTGACCAAACATGATCAAAACTGACCAAACTGGGCTCCCGGAGGTCCTGCTTGTCTGTACAGCCACCCCCACATCAGATAATTACCAAAAAAATCACAGGAAAACTAATTGCGGAGTTTTATAAAAACATGAAGCAAAGTTCCGAAAATTAACGCCCACTGGCTAGTACTGGTTACTTGAAAATCCCATGTCGGTTATGACACGGTTGGGCACGGTACTATTTTATTAATAAGTGTCAAAAATTCATATTGATTGACAGAAGCGTCCTACAAGATACAATAAACAATCAAAATAAAGCTAAAAAAAAGCTGTAATAACTGACTTGTACATAGTGGTCAGTGAAGTGACCATTGGTCAGCGATGACCGGAAATTCGAAAAACGTAATTTTTGACTAAACGCAGTTAAAATTAATGTGAAGAAAAGGCAAACAAGTTGCGGAATGACCGCTGTGAGTAGCTCTAAAATTGCTATGACCCGTACTACCGGGAACAATCAGAATTCAAAAAATTTTGCAGTGTAACTGCTTGCGTATAGAACGCCATTATTGCCATGTACTGTAACCTACCAGCTGCTCCATTGTTCCAGAGAAAAATCATATATTCTTTGCAGATTATATCGGAGTTACACTGTAGTAATGAGTGTGAAATCTTGCAAAAATTATTAACTCGTGTCTACACTTCGCATAGTGAGCATCAAAAACATTTGAACCTTCCGGTTCATGAGCGCTTGTAACCTTTAGAAACCAGTCTGTGCAAAGCGGTTGGTATAACGGAAGAGAGCATTTGGGAGTAAAGGCAGCCTCCGTTTATGCAGCTGAGCATTATTTAGCAGCGGTGCCGACGTAGACAGTGCAAAGTATAATCAATCACTCCCACACAATTTGGATAATTCGTGATGCTTAGGAGTCGGCTAGTCTACCACCACAAGTCCACTAGCAGAACTGCCTTCCTTTGTAAATACGAGCATTTGTTGTTTTCTATAAAGTTTAAACGTAAGTTAGATTGTACGAGTAGGCTTTTTGGCAGGGCTTTATTGACCCTACTGCGCGATACCCTCGTTTTCTCACAACTGGTCACTTGTACAACACTTTGAGAATATGTTGTCTATGATTCCTGCTAGCTATCTCTGCTACGGTTTTCGGTTGCACAACCTGGAATAGTATTACTTCCACTGTGTAGACGTCACCAGGACTGTGGTCAACAATAGGTCAAGTGACCAATTGTCCAAACCGTAGAGCAAAAGTGACCAACTGTTGCGAAATATCGTAGTAGCGCTTATGTACTGGTGAATATTAGGATTTTTTCGTTTCTAAATTTTCCTTGACCACTGGTCATCTTGATGACCATCGTAATGCACCTGTGTTCAAGTACTCGTTGAGACCTATCGTTTAAGCAATTGGCATATTCTGTGCGATTTTTCTATCGCCTGTTATAAACGGCAATGGATAACATGTCGGAGCAACATGGTTCCCAAGCGTGTTAGCTCGACATGGTCATCTCCTGCTTGACCTATGGTCGCTAAAATTCTGAAAAAAATATTTTTTTCTTAACTGAATTTTTCTATCCCAAACTACCAATTTTCGAAACGATAGTCCCATCCCTTCTAGTACCCGGTTTTCCTGGGTTAAACAGTGTGGCGTGGCGCGCTGTAGTATGAAGTTTGGCGTAACACGCAAATTTGTGTAAGTCGCTGTATAGATTCGTCAAAATTACCGGACAAGCTTGTAGTTCTCGGTACAGTGTATATAGTATATAGTAAATAGTCACTATATACTATAATGTACTGATATACAACATTTGTTATAGAGTAGCGGAAAACGTTGAAATAATTTAAACGATCGGTGCGGTGAATGGAGAAATTCTTCACTCAACATCAAAATAATTCCACGGCGAGACTTGTAGAAAAAACGCATGAGACTATACAATCTGTTGGTTCTTGCAGTTCAGTCATACAACGGCAGGATTGCACGTATACCGTACAAGCAGCGCGCTGCTTTCCCGAAAGCTGCACTTTCACAAACCGGTCAATAAGCTGGCGCACCAGGGCGTACCGCTATCGGAATAACCGTGACCTCTCGAAATCGCCCTTTTGCTATGGATACGGCCCGTCAAAACGGAGTTTTTGTTCTACTAACTGCCTTTTTTATATCTGTACAATGTTGAGCTCAGTATCGTCGATTCTTTGGTTTCTGCGGCATAAGGTTGGCTGATATTATTAGTTATTGTTTGCGCCG